GAGGCTGGTGGCATCGGTCACCTCAAAGCAGCGCCGGAAAAGCTCCTTTGTGTACCTTAAAGTTGGCGATGACCTGCTGATCCATCGGCTGGGGTACCGGGGTGGTGTTAGGCAGCAGGAACATGATCTTGATGAAGTTGAACTCCTCCAACAAGTCGTCCTCAAGGCCTGGAGGATGGGCAGGAGCATTGTCCATCAGGAGCAGGGCCTTCAGTGGCAGGTCGTTGTCCAGCAGGTACCTCTTGACAGCTGGGCCAAAAGTGTGATTGACCCAGTCCACAAAGAGGACGCGTGTGACCCAAGCCTTGGCATTGGATCGCCACATCACCCTCAGCCGAGCTTGGTCCACCTTGTGCTTCTTGAAAGCCCATGGATTCTCGGAGTGGTACACAAGCAAGGCTTAATCTTCAGGTCCCCGCTGGCGTTGGCGCAGAAGAGGAGGGTGAGACGGTCCTTCATGGGCTTGTGGCCAGGCAGCTTGCTCTCCTCTTGTGTCAGGAAGATCCCTTTGGGCATTCTCTTCCAAAACAGGCCAGTCTCATCACAGTTGAAGACCTGCTCTGGACGGTACCCCTCTGTCATCACAACCTCCAGGAACTCCAGAGCAAAGTCCTCAGCTGCAGTAACCAGAGCTGGCAGCCTCTCCGTGCCTCACCACACTGTGGATGCCGGATCTGGTTTTGAAGCATTCAAACCACCCTCTGCTTGCCTTGAACTCTTCTGGCTCAGCTGAGGTTCCGGGCTGCTGCTCCACAAGGTCCGCAGACATGGCTCTGGCCTTCTCACAGATGACAGCCTCAGTCACTGTGTCCCCTGCACGCTGCTTCTCCTGCATCCAGAGGACAAGGAGCTTCTCCACCTCCCCCAGGACAGCTGGCCGGTTCTTTGCGATCCTGGTGACCCCCTGTGCTGCATCCGTGGCAAGGATCTTCTCCCTCATCACTACAATGGTGCCGATGGTGGATGGATTCCTGACGTACCCCCTGGTTAGCATAACTACACCCCCCAGCACAAGCTAAGAAAAAAAAAACCCACAGGAGAAGAAATTACCTCTTGCTGTCCCTGAAGCAGCAAACTCCACTGCAGGCCACACCACGCCACAGGAGGATCCCTGACTAAAGAAATTTTGAGAAAAATTAGAGTTAGCATCAATACACCCCCCAGCACAAGCTAAGGGGGAAAAAACCACAGGAGAAGAAATGCAGACCTACCTCTTGCTGTCCCAGATGTTCTGGAAAAGTCCACCAAAGGCCACACCACATGACAGACTACAGTAAAAAAAAAAAAAAAACAAACTTGGCATCAGACTTTTGCATTCAAACCCCCACAACAGAAGCTACTGTAGCCCCTAAGTTTCCCCTGCAGGGTACTCAAAATTTTAAATCACATTTCTGCATGCTTCTCCCAAACAGAACAAATGTGATAGCAGATCCAAATTCTCCCAGGAAAAACCATTTAAAATGAGACTCATGGAACATTTCCCTCCTCAACCCAGAAGAAAAAAATGTAAATTCAGGTTTTAAATTTAAAACCCCAATCCAAGAACCATGCATGCACAGAAGAGCAGGAAAATTAAAATGAGACTCATGGAACATTTCCCCCCCTCCCAACCCAGAAGAAAAACAGCCAGTAAAATTTTTAAATTCAGGTTTTAAATCTAAAATTCCAAATCCAAGAACCATGCATGCACAGAACAGCAGGAAAATTAAGGAAAAGGCATGCACAAAAAACCCCCCTGCAATGTACTGTATCCAAAAATAAGAAAATAAAAATACCTGTAAGACTTATGCAATAAAACCCACCACCCACACAGGAGAACAAATGCAAACTTACCTTCTGCTGGCCAAGTTCTCCAGAACAGACCAAAGTTGCTCCTCACCAAGTCAGCCCTGGAACTCCACATGTAAAAGAGCACAGGATGCATTGGGGAAGGGTTTTTAAACCTTCCCCCCACAAGGCACAATGCATCCTGGGTATTGCCTCTTTAAATTTGAAAGAAAACAACAACAGGGAAAAACACCCTGGAGGCAGTCGCATTGCAAAACAGCGACCGTTAAAACGCCATTCAAGCTAAGCACGACCCCTGGGCTGTTTAAATCATCGCTAAGCGAAACAAGGGACCTAAAATGTAATCGCTATGCGAAGCATGGTCCCACCATCACTAAGCGAAAATCACCCATGGCGACCATCGCTAAACAAAGCGTAAAAATGCTCCGGAAAAGTCATCGCTAAGCGATTTCCCGTTAAACGCAGCGCCCGTTAAGCGAGGCATCACTGCAATTCTTTTCACAGGTGGACCATGAAATGGGGTCACAGGGGGATTCATTTCTTGCCCAGTAATTGCAGAAAATAATCTATCTCTTCTTCTCAATAAACCCTATTACAGAAGGTCACAGTAAAATTTACCCAAGACAGCACAAATGCATATGCCCTTGGTGGCCATTTCAGTCCTGACCCAGTAACTAATCACACAAGACAGGGGCATAGTTTGTCACCTAGACTTGCCTCAAGTGAGACTGATAGCTTGGAGAATTTGCCAAACCTGAAGTGATCCCTCACTGAATCAAGAAAGCCATCTACTGGAAGGATAAAGGTCCAGCCGACATGTGGTAACATTCACCTCTCCAGGAGTCCTGTCCACATCATCAGGCTGCAAGAACTGAAACCTGTTTATTAACTCCGGACAAGAAAACGCTATAGTTACATATGCATGGCTTGAATCAACTAGAGCAGTGGTTCTTAACGTGGGCAGTAATGCCCCCCAGGGGGCGATTTCATTTTTCAGGGGGGCGGTAGAACGAAAAGGGGCGGCATGGGGCGGCGGAACAGAAGGGGGCGGTAGGGGGCGCTAGAGCGAGCCAAATCTGTGAAGGCGGCTGCAGCCACAGTGCTGACAGTGGATCCAGTGCCGCTGCCACCAGACAATCCAGCTCTTTCTGCTTGCCACATCTCGCCTTTCTCCCTTAGGGGAGCACCGAGTGTGGATTTGGTGGAAGGAAAGGGTAGCACCCGGGTGGGGAGAAATAAATAAATAAGAAAGATATCATCACCGCGGGGAGGGGGACGATGATAACTTCCTCAATGGCTCAAGGGGGCGTTTCTTTCAAAAAGGTTAAGAACCACTGAACTAGAGCATCCAAACAGAGTGGATAACAGCAATTTTACCTGCGAAATGTCATGCACATTCTTCACAGTGAGCTACAGTGTAGTCTGCATTATTTTCAGGCCATTGACCACTTGGAAGAGCTCTACCAGACAATTCTGTGCAGATGCAGTGATGGCAGAGAAGAATGACTTTACCACCACCACTTCAATGGAGTAGGCTTTCCAAAGGGCCCTAGCCTGTGTTTGGTCGGACTCACTCTGTTTTCTGCCATTATTGCTCTAGTCTCCTTCCCATTTGTTTCATCTATGCCAGCTCCTGGTAAATCAGGGGAGCAGTTTAACTCTACTTCATGGGAGGAGACACTTAGGAGTGGTCATGTTAATGGTGTTGGCCATTTCCCCAGGGCTTCAACAGAATTGCATGCTAAGGCAAAAGGAAACTCTCTGGGAGAGCCATCAGGAAACCATTTGGATGCATCAGCTTCCTGGGTCGGACCATCTTAATCACCCCCCTCCTGCATAGTGTAATATTCTTGAATTTTGACTACAGCAGCAAGTCTTCTATAATTCTTTGTAAAATGAAATGAGAAAGATTGCTTATTTTTGAGAGAATAAAAAGAGACCTATATTGAAGTAGATTGCTACTTCAGCAAGCATTTTCAACACAATTGTTTAAAGTGGAATAGCAGAACGATTTGAAATGATTTCTTTTAACTATTTGTTCTCTGTTGCTCATGACCCGGCACTTACCATGGGGTCCTTCTTGACCTGGTGCTTACCATGGAGACCCAGATAGCATCAGTGGTCTGTACCACCCATTTCCATCTTCAGCGGGTTGCCCAGCTGCATTTCTATCTTGATGTGGGGCCCCTCACTACTCTGGTAGTCTTGTAGTCTGAAAATTAGACTATTGTAAGCTTGTAGTCTCACGATTAGACTATTGTAATGCGCTCTACGTGGGGCTACCTTTGAGATTGATGTGGAAGCTTCAAATGGTGCAGAACGCGGCAGCCAGACCTCTTACTGGTGTGAGAAAACATCAGCATATCTTCCTACTCTGGCTGCCCTGCATTGGCTGCCTGTTCGTTTCTGCATTCATTTCAAAGTACTAATGATGGCATATAAAGCTCCAAATGGTTTAGGACCTATCTGGTGGAACGCCTCCTCCCACCTATATCTACCTGAATCACTCGCTTTAGTCAAGATTGGCGGCTGAGGGGGCTTAACGCCAAGGGAGGCCCGAAGAGAATGAACAAGAAAGTGGGCCTTCACGGCAGTGGCCCCTCATCTGTGGAACAATTCCCCCCCCTCAGAAATTTGTTTGGCTTCCTCGCTGGGTATTTTTAAGAGCCAACTCAAGACCTGGCTCTTTAGGCAGGCCTTCCATCCTGTCATTACCTAATTTTATTGCTATCTTCTATTGTATGGGGACGTGGTGGTAATACCGCAGAAGCCTCTGTGCTGCAAGGTCAGAAGACCAGCAGTCGTAAGATCAAATCCACGCAACAGAGTGAGCTCCCACCGCTTGTCCCAGCTCCTGACAACCTAGCAGTTCAAAAGCATGTAAAAATGCAAGTAGATAAATAGGTACCACTACGGTAGGAAGGTAACGGCGTTCTGTGTCTAGTCACGCTGTCCACGTCACCACGGAAACTGTCTACAGACTAACTCCATGGCTTGGAAACGGGGATGAGCACTGCCTCCTAGCGGCGGACACGACTGGCCAAATTGTCAAAGGGAACCTTTACCTATTGTATTAATGTGTTGTTTTATTTTAATTTATTATTCTTGAGTATTGTTAGCTGCCCAGAGTAAACTTTGGTCTATATGGGCGGGATATAAATTAAATAAATAAAATAAATAATAATGATTATATACTGTTTGATTTCTGGCAGATAGCAAGAAGCAGAGCCAGTCTAGTGTATCTGGTGTGGGCCAGTCAACCCAACCTGCAGCTCGTCCCCTGCAGCCAGTACAGACAGCCCCTCTTCAACAAGCAGGTGCATCATCAAGTGGCCTGTCTCAGACCACTATACATGTTCTACCAACAGGTAAAGTACTTTTGTTTCTAAAGCAAGTCAGTTTTTTAATACTTGCTATGAAGCTGTACTGCTGAAGAAAGTTTATTATTTAAGTAATTGTTCTAATATTTTTGGATAGAAATATAGGACAATAAATATTATTTTTATATTCCAGCCAGGTAGGCCTCCTCTCAAATAGTTGTGGAAATAAGTTTACATAAACCAGGACACTGATACTTCTGTAGCAGAAACAGAGATTTCAGAAGGACAGAGTGCATTCTGGATGCAGTTTTTGGGCGCAGTAATAGAAATAAAGAAATGTTCAAAGCACTGTAGTACAATACTGTTTTCTGCGGCTGAATGGTGTCAGGTGGATAATGGAGGAATATTTTATTTGGTGAGCTGACAGAAATTACTATAGATCTGCATATCTAGTTTTCTAGAACCTCCATCCATTAATGACAAAGTAGGAGCTATTCAAGTTCAGTGTTATGAAAGTAATGGGGCAGAGATATTATGCCTGAGTACAACTATGTATGTATTTTTCAGAAATTATGGCTAGAATCTATTTAGTCCATGTAATATCTGCCAAAGAAATAGACATTCTTTTTCGTGGCCTCTGTGAATGCACACATATGGGTATTGTCTGCGCTGGCGCTGACTCTCTCGGAAGATTCTAGAGCTAAAAGTAACAATTATATGGTGTGATCCTCCACAAGGTATATGCTCCTCCCACCCACCATCTTCTCCAGTTCCTTTTTTCCGCCGAGCTGAATGGTTCTCGGGAAAGATTGAGCGCTTCGCTATTTGCCTTTTGGCTATTTTTCTAGGCTCTTTTGAGCTTTTGTTTGTTTATCCTTACTCTAATTACCTACTTAGTGATCCTCCACGTCTTTTGTTTGCCTAATTGGCTTCCCACGGTCTTTTTATTCCCTTCCTTTTTCCCTCCCCCCAGTCCTTTGCTTATGGCCTTGCCGTCTCCTTTTAAACGTTGTATGACCTGCGCGAATAAAATCGCACTTTCTGACGGTCATAGCCAGTGCCTTTTTTGTTTGGGCAAGGAACATCCAACCCATTTGTGCCCTGCTTGTAAAAACCTAACCAAGCCGGCACTTAAACAGAGGTTCCAAAGACTTCGGTCTTACTTTTGGCAAACAGCCATGAATCCTCCTACTACGTCTTCGGAAGCAGCTAGATCTCCTGCCCTTTCAGCCGATAGACTTCCAGCGGGCCAGTCTACTTCTAACTCTATCTCTGTGCTACCAGCTAGGACACTGCTGAGAAAGCAAAATCGTCTGGTAAGCACAAGTTGCCCTCCTCTCAGAAGTCTCGAGCGCACGATCCAAGCTCGAAGAAAAAACCTAAACCTACCCCTAAGAGGACTAGAAAGGACAGACTTCCCCGAGTGGAACCCCTCAGCCTTCTCTGCCTTCCCCCATCCTCGAGGAATCATCCAGAGAAGCCCCTGACTTGGCCTCGGATGGAGATGAAGCCCATGATGTCGTGCCCCCCCGATGCCGCTCCAAACCCTGAGCATTGGACTCAATGTGGCTGCGCCACAGCCACAGTCCAGCCCAGCCTCGGCCCACTCCAACCCTGTCTCAGGGCGGTCAGCTGAAAGCTTGGCATCCGATCTGGAGGTTCCCCCTTCACCTCCACGGAAGAGAAAGGAGAATCGAAATCACCTCTCCCCACCAAGGTCTGTGCCATCGCAAGGCGATTTGTGCCCCTTTCCAATGGTACCATACCATTTTGACCCCTTCATGTGGCAAACCCTGTACGAAAGGTACCAGCATGAACAGGCTAAGCGGCCCCAAATGATGCCGGAACTCCCCCATGCCGTCCCCTTCGTGGACTCGAATCGCCTCCATGCGACCACTTTGGCCCTGACAATTTCGGCTCTGTCTGTATGCCCTCCTGCCCCATCTAAGCCAAATCCTCTAACTTGTATGCAAGACAGAGTTCATGAGGCCGTACCCCTACGTCCCGCACCCTCAGTGCCGGACCCGATAACATCTCAAGGCCCTTTTGAAGGCCTGCCAACCCAACGGCATCAAGCACCCCTGACAGAGGGCTTCAGTCCATCAGACTACCCTTCATCTCCAGGCTTCCCTGCATCTTTGGAGGCACAACACTCTGAGTCCTCCCATTAGCCCGAGCTTCCCCCTCCAATCCCAAATACGAGGGGCAGCCATGCTTTGTCCTCCTCGGATGACTTCTCCTCATATTCTACGCTTATTTTCCAAATGGCACAAGCCCTGAATCTCGACACCGAACAACCCTCATCGGATGCCGACCCGGTGTTCGATGACATCAACCAGGACCGTCCTGTTCTGTTGAGTCTCCCCTTTAACAAGTCTATCCTTCAACTTATTAAGGACACTTGGGGAAAACCCACGGTGTTGATGCCGAATTCCTCAATAAGCATCCAGTGCCTAACTCTATTATCGTCGAATCCAGTCAGGCCCGAACCCAGGCTAATTCCAAACCTACCCTTGCCAATAAAGACTGCAGAAAAGTTGACACAATGGCAAAACGAATTTACTCTCTGCAAGCCTTTTTGCTCAGGAGTATTAGTTACCGGGCAACTATGGGTGCCTTTCAGCGTCATCTTTGGAATCAAGTCCTTCCCCTCATTGACTCATTTCCTGAACTCATGAGATCTGATCTCATCAACAAGCCATTTCTCTCGCCAAGTATCAGAGGATTGCGGCGCGACACTCTGCTGAGGCCGCTTCTAAAACTTTGGTTACCTCTATCTCTATTTGACGCCATGTCTGGCTGAAATCCTTCACGATCTCTGATGACACCAAGTCAAGAATCGAGGACTTGCCCTTTGATGGTGCTGGCCTGTTCAATTCCACAACCGATAATACCATGGACTTCCATAAGAAGCGCAAAACTGCGCGCTCTTATTCTGCTCAGCCTCCTATCAACAGCCCTTCTACCGTTCGAGCTCGTTTCATTCCAAGCAATACCAGAATCAACGGTTCCAACCTTATAAACAGTATCGTCCCCATCAAACCTTACCTGCCCCTCAACCTCTGATGGCATCATACCAGCCTCAAAGCCTACCTCGTCAACATCGATCCTTTCGTAAAGGACAACGAAAGGGTAAGCAATATTGACAATTACCTATGCCTCCCTTTTCTGACATTCCTCTTTACCCACTGAACTGTACCAGACTGGCCCCATTTTTCCATTGTTGGCAATCCATTACCTCAGACAAATGGGTTCTGTCCATCATAGCATCTGGCTACCTCATAGAATTCTCCAAATTACCTCCGTTGGGGTTCATTCGATTCACCCCCTACTCTTCTGCTCTGCAGGATGAGGTTACCAAACATCTCCAGAAACACGCCATTTTTCCAGTCCCTACTTCGGACTCCCTCAACGGTTTCTACTCAGAATACTTTACTGTTCCTAAAAAAGATGGAGGCCTCCGCCCCATCCTTGATCTCACTCACCTCAACCGTTTCATATCTCCTCGCAAATTCCGCATGCTTACACTGGACTCTATTATCCCTTTGCTTTCGCGGGGAGACTGGTTCATAATTATCGACCTGCAGGACGCCTATTTCCACATCTCCATTCATCTGTACCATCAAAAATTCCTCCGGTTTCATTTCAACGGTACTGCCTTCCAATTCTGTGCCCTCCCGTTCGGGCTCTCCACCGCCCCCGTACTTTCACCAACTGCATGGCGCTGGTAGCTGCCTTTCTCCGGCTGCAGGGCTCCGGCTCCCTACATCGACAACTGGTTGATAGTGGCAACATCGTACCACGACGCCATAAAAGCACGAGACACAACGCTCCATACACTTCACAGTCTCGGTCTCAAGATCAACCTCGAAAAGTCGCACTTGATCCCAAAGCAGACAGCCAAGTTCATAGGCATGGAGGTAGACTCCATGCAAGAGTTTTTGGACAATCAATAAGCTGACTGTTACAAAAAAGTAACATCCCTCCACCTGTGATGACTGAAACTAAGCTGATGGGGAAAAATAAGGGGACAGATATCATAGCTGGAGGAGGCACCTAAAAAGGTAAATAAAATAGCAATGGTGAGTTTTCTGAAGGTAAACTCTTGAATTGGTAAAAATAACAAGATGGTGCTGGAACAGGCAGAGGAAACAAATGAAATGATTAAGAAGTACATCACAGCCATCATTGGGAGTAGCCTGGCCAGGCAAAGTGATAAAGAGGTGTAGTATTATTTTTCTCCAGATTTTTTGGGAGGACAATTGCAGATGTACCATATTTGCCGGCGTACAAGATGAGTTTTTGGCCCTGAAAAACATGCCTCCAAGTGGGGAGGTCGTCTTGTACGCCAGGTGCATGTCCAGCAAACCCTCCCTCTCTCCCAGCGAAGTCACTTACCTGGTAGTAAGACCGAGGAGAGCCCCGCTCCTAGCCTGGAAACAGCCTGACTCTAGCGCCGAACAGCTGACTGTGGGGAACAGCAGAGAGGCGGCAGCCGTTTTGAGATGCGACCACATGGCTGCTGCCTCTCAAAATGGCTGCCACCTCTCCAAAATGGCTGCCACCTCTCTGCTGTTCCTTCTTCCATCAAACCCTGGCTCTCTCCGAAAAGGAACCAAAAGGGGCAAAAGGAACTCTCCCCATGATGCAGCCAAAGCAGAATCACGCATGCAGAAGAGGGGGTAGTCTTATACAGCAAGTATATAACAAACTCTACATTCTGAGTAGGAATGTTGGGGTGGTCTTATACGCCCAGTCACCTTATAGACCGGCAAATACGGTAGCTGTCGACCTCTGGGAGTGGTGCTGTTCCTACCATGTTTTCCCTATTGCTGTCCAGATCTCCACCGACGACAACGGCTCAGTCGGCTACCAACGAGGACACACGAATGGACTCTGAACGATGTCATATTTCAGCGGCTGTGCTGACGATGGGGCATGCCCTCAATAGATCTCTTTGCAGTCAATGCCAACAAGAAATGTCCCCGATTCTGCCCCAGAGCGGGACGGGACATCAACTCTCTGGGAGACACATTTCTGATGGACTGGTCTCAAGATCTCCTTTACGTATTTACCCCTCTGCCTCTAATCCAGAGGGTAATCGTCCGTCTCCGACAGGACAGAGCCAACGTGATCCTGATAGCCCCGTACTGGCCCTGCCAGCCATGGTTCACTCACCTGGTCTCAATGTTGTCGGATATGCTTCGCCTTCCTCTCTGCCCAGATCTCTCACTCGACCACGGCCTCGTTCTTCACCCAGATGTCGCCTCTCTGTCTTGCGGCATGGAGGATATTCCCGATGTGATGCAGGTTCTTCTTCGAGCCAGAAAACCTTCCACTACCCTCCTATACAAAAATAAATGGAAGTCTTTTCTAAAATATACTCATGACCATAACTTACCTGCTATACCTGTCTCTTTGAAGACTCTGCTCGCTTATCTCCT